GACTCGACATAAATAACTGTGTTTTTTCATTATATTCCTTAAATCTGTAGTTAAGGTTAATATACGTAAATACTTAGAATAATTCAGTACAACCTAATAAGTGTAACTGTCGTTAATTTTACTAAATAGTATACGCAAAATGGATGGATTTCAGTTTGTTTGTTTTTGGATGCACTGTGAAAATGTATAATAGCTGTTAAAATAGCGATTTAGTAATTTATTTAAACATGAATAACAACTGTCAAAGGATTACATATCTGTTTCATATTCTATTGGGCAACGAGAGAGAAAGCTATAGCATTTACAAAACCATTTATTAGGTTTTTAAATATAATAATATATAATATCACATTAATACACACTATACAATATAATATAAGTTTTGCTGACGCATTTAATTTTATTGTAGTTACGCATAAGTTACTGTTGGAGAATGTGTGTTCGAAGCACAGCATATGGTGTTATGTACATAGCGGTTCATAGTTCCAAGTTCGTCCAATAGGTGACGTTACCTCAGTTTAAATATGTTCGTTTTTTTAGATTATTTGATGATAAGCCTAATGAATAAGTACAGTTATGCCTTTTAAATTTCTTTTGTACGTACGCTACAAGTTCTGCTGAATAAGCAGAAGTCTTATGGCTTGATTTTCACGTAAAAAGTCTTTAGCATAACTAGGACCATAAATAAGATTTTAGAATTACTTAGCTGTTTGTTATTGGCAGATAGAAATAATTTATCTTGTTAGCAGATAGAAATGATTTATCTTGTTAGCAGATAGAAATAATTTATCTTGTTAACAGATAGAAATAATTTGTTTATCTTGTTAACAGATAGAAATGATTTATCTTGTTAGCAGATAGAAATGATTTATCTTGTTAACAGATAGAAATAATTTATCTTGTTAACAGATAGAAATAATTGATCTTGTTAACAGATAGAAATGATTTGTTTATCCAGTTAACAGATAGAAATAATTTGTTTATCCAGTTAACAGATAGAAATGATTTATCTTATTAACAGATAAAAATAATTTGTTTATCTTGTTAGCAGATAGAAATAATTGATCTTGTTAACAGATAGAAATAATTTGTTTATCTTGTTAACAGATAGAAATAATTTGTTTATCATTATTGTCGTTTGAAAACGGAAGTAAATTTAATGGTATTTCTTCTTCTTCTTCATTGATATTATCTGTTAATATCGTATTATAAAACGTGTTCAAATTATGACAGACTTGTCAAAATTCAGTTTGTAACTTATTTTTATGGTATTATACAGAAAAGTAAATTGTCTTGAAAAAGTATATGTCTTGAAAAATATGTTGTCCTGAAAACGTACGTCAGGAAAAATGGAATGTCCTATAGTATTTTTTAATTGTCGTTTTAAGTCCAGATCTTCATTATAGCTCCTCCTCCTTACCCAGACTTTTCTCAGGTCTATACGCTTGCTTTACATGCCAAAGACAAATACAAACTTCGATATTTAGTTTTTTGAGTTATCAGAGAGGGAAAGAAAAAGACGTCTACTTCCTATAAGACTAAGGTTAAAACCCTGTTCATAGAGGGTTTAATACCTTATATTAAAACGATTTTAAATCAGCAAGTCAGCAAGTAACTTGATGCCACCTGAAATTGATCATTTTTGGAAAGGGTATTTTCTGACGCAAAATATTCATACTCTCAATAAATAAAAATGTGTTCTGATCAGGGATATAGAATTTCCAAGGAGGAAATATTTTTTTCCTTAATAGCATTGGAAAACAAAGGAATACGGATCAACTTGGGGCACCAGGACCATCGAGAAAGTGACCAGCACTAATTCGTATCCCAACAGTGATTACCAGCTTTGTAACAGATGAGAATTCACAAACATAAAGGTCAGTGATACAAACTGTCCATATGCCCCAGACAACAGCACCACACATGATCATGAAAAATGTCCGTCTAGCTAATAAATCAAACATTCAAACCAGGGGCCGATTTCACGAGAAAGATGATTGAGTACCATTCGATATCCCTCGTTGATCCACATTTTTCAATTTTCCAATGCCATTAGGTATAAGGGATATCTTCCATCTTGAAAAGTTTCAATCCCCGATCTGAACACATCTTTATGATCTGAGTGCATGACTATTCAAAAAATATGTCACATATAATATTTTTATTTAAAAAATAATATTTTTATTTAAAAAATATTTCCATGTCGTGTTCTACAGAGCATGTTATATCTGAATAACTTTGAATTATGTAAAAAAAAAAAGCAGTTCACGTGATAACCACAGCGAATGTATCAGAACTCCATTTTGGCATTGTTTGACGTTTCGTAGGTAGTGTGTTACCGTCAAAAATTGATCGCAAAAAATGATCATTGTTACATATTGTTTTTGTAAGATCTAACGCAAATGTTAAAATTTTAGTCAGCTTTCACCTCCTGTCCAAGTCATCAAGACATTTATAATTTAACCTCGTAATTCCTTATTACTCACAAGAAATAAAAAAACAGTGTACATACCACACATCTTCTCGGAAAAAAACCGTTTGATTATTTAATGTTTTTAATTTATCTTAATTAACTTCAAAAGCAACATATTCAAACGTGTCTGTGAATTATAGAATTTTTTGTTTTACATTTTCCATCTCACGCAATGTCTTTTTGTAATTACAGAACCTAGGCCTAGTTATCAAGCACTAAACTACGCGTATAAATTTAGCTGTGCCTAAATCAGAAGATAGTTCAAGGGACTCCCTAGAACACGTATGGTATGCCAATAATTATCCGCCAACATAAATGTTATATCTATATAGAATATCTAGATTTAAGAAACAGTTACGTTGTTTCACAAGAACAGCAAGAAATACTATATATTATTTCAATATAATCAGAAATTTTAATCATATTTGTTTTTTAAAAACTGTAATAAAATCAATTAAGTTATCGATTGTCACGTAGCGTGATATAAAGATTTCTGAGAAAATAAATCTACAAAGGTACAACAACTAACCTCGTATTCCGTGCGTCTGTGTGTCTGTTACGGTAAGAAAATATCAATATTTTTGTACACAACTGTTGTAATTATTCGACGTGAGACAGTGTACTATTTTTGTACAAAATGTATCTGAAAAACGCTTTTAAAGATATATATATATATATATATATGACCAAAAACTTAGATAAACCATAAAAGACAGATTAAAGATTTACTTTTGAAGCGTCACAATCTCTACTGTATAATTATATTATTTTACATATAACACTGTCCCTTTGAAAAGTAAATTACGATCTTACTCTTGAACAAGAAAACTCTCAAACTTTTGAACATCAAATGTTTTTTATGTTTGTTTTGTTCTATTTTTTTTAATTTCGCGCAAAGCTACACGAGAG